ATTGAAACAATATTAAAAGGAATTTTGAATAAAATTAATGAAATAAGTTACAAACATAAGTCCAGATATACAAAGAACACTTTTTATAGTCAGACAGTGTAATTACATGAATAATTTGCGAACTTCAGTATGGATTTGTTGACATGGTATTTCCGGTGTTACGTGCTCACGGTAATGTCTCATTATTTCGTGTATAATGCGCACCCCCTTCTACACAGCTGTGGGTTTTTTGGAAATAAATGCGCAGTTTACTCAAGAAAATACGGAATGCTTTGAATGGCGAAGCTTACACGGAAGTTTCATCGTCTTTCGACATGTTCGATGAACCAAAACCTGCAACTAGCACCGGTAAACTGTCAGATGATGTTACTGACACACTGTTCTAAAGCTTGTTTGTCTGAAAAACTCAAAAGCTTCAGCAACACGTCAACAGTTCTTGTTCATGATATAAAACTGATTATTTAAACTGATGGATTTTTTTGTGTTTTGTTATGCAGAAGCTCAGTTAAATTACAAGTCATTACTTTTTACATTTTGTCTTGGCTCCTTGAAATTCTCTTTGGCTCCTTGAAAAAAACATTTAGGAGCAAAGTGGCTCCTTTGAATTTTTGTTAACTTTGTGGCCTGGAAAAGGGGCACAGTGCACACAGTGCACACTGGACGAACCTGATCTATTGCACGCCTGTCAGATGTGTGAGACGAAATGCAGAGTTTTGGTGTCCCTGTAACGACGAGCCAGAGGCGTGATGTGCATTATAAGTGTATAAATATTTTATAACTGCGTAATGCATCCAGTTATTCAAGTTTGGACACTTTTTACACCCCGAGTTAACTTTATTGATGTCGTTTGGTGATGGGGATTCCCTCACTGTGCATATGACAAGCTTGTCTGGGGCTCAGTGGACATAAATAGCAAGTCAATGAGGCAGGCGAAAACATATGACGTCATTCCAAAGTGTCATGGTCGCAATCGGAACTTCGGAAGCAATCGAAACAGATTTTCGCTTCAGACACTTTCACATTAAACATTTGATGACCCACTTCATATACTCAACAACAAAAGTTCCTGTGACACCAATATTTTAGTGTATTTTTCAAACAAGTAAAGTTTGGTTTTCAATATTGTAGTACATTTTGGAATCGAGTCACAAAAACGCAACTGCTACAGAAAAGCATGCATTCCATGCAAAAGTTGACTTTTTGCAATCCCTATGCATCTCACTACCCAAGAATGGGTATAAAAACATGTGCGTTAAAGGGATTACATATGCATGGTTTAGCATCGTGCTGACTTAAAAACAACTCAGAAAAAATTATGCAATTATTCAACATTACGAAATGCCACGCCTGTCCGAAAATGAGCGTCGAAGGTATCCTCGAAGCAGGATCGAGTCAATGTGATGTTGCAAGACAATTTAAGGTCCACAGAGAAATACCACATGGTGTTAATGGCAACGTTGGCAACGTTGGCAACAGACAAATGCAGTCCATCCTCGGAGTGGCAGGCCATGCGTAACCAATAATGGACAAGACTGGATTCGAACAACACACCTACGAAATCGACTCCAGCCAGCAACAGTGACTAAAAAAAAGCATCCCTGGCCTTAGACGAATATTTTCACAAAACATACGTCGCTGCCTCAGATGTGCAGGGATTGTCACCAGAAGACCCGCCAGACGTCCCATTTTGACAGGAACCGGCAGCGTTATGTTATGGGATGGGATTACGATAGCAAGACAGAGGACCCGTTTGATAGTGGTAGAGGGAAATCTCAATGGACAGTCCTACTGCAACAAGATCATTGGCCGTGTTGTTTTACCGTTTTTGCGTCGTCATGGCCCAGGCATTACCTTTCAACATGACAACGCCCTGCCTCATATTGCTCGACTTGTTCAGGATTCTCTTCAAGAAAACAACATGAATGTCATCCCCGCTCCCTTGTTATCTCACCAATCAAGCACATGTGGGATGAGATGGATCGGCCCCTTCGACGTCAACCACGTGTTTCACAGACACTCCAGGAACTTCGAAACATGCTCAAGCACACATGGACAGATATCCCACAGGACTTTGTGCGACACCTGGTCCATTCCATGAGACGAAGATGTGTTGCTTGCATCGAAACCAGAGGTGGACACACACGCTACTGATTTGAAAATTGACATTTTGGCATGTTCATGTTTTTTTTTATGAAATCACACATTTTCTGAAGTCAGTATGGCAAATTAAACCATTGGAACACTTACAGGAGTCTTTTATCTGTTGCAAACCGAAATCGTTTTAGATTTGATAAAAAACCTAACTTTGCATTAAATCTGATTCAATGTCACAGGAACTTTTGTTGTTCAGTATAGTTAAATTTAAATATTCAGTCGGTGAAGTTATTATTGTACCTATTTATTTATAAAAAATGGCAACTTCTACCCATTTATACCACACAATCCACCCAGCAGGCACGCAACATTGGATCAACGTTTAAAATTGGTTGCGTTTAGGTTGTGACGTTGATCAACCAAAACGCAACGTTGTATCAACGTTAAATCTTAAACGTTGAGCCATGGCTGTGATACTGACGTCACAACAACGTTGAATTTAAGACGTACGTACATCATTTCAATTAGACGTACGCCTATTCGAAAATCGACAAATCACCATACTTTTCCACTCCGTTTCACCTGTTTAAACACTGCGTTGAAACCCAAGAATGATCAGTTAGGCTGCCTATTCAAATTTAAACAAGCCAGGTATATTAAATTATATATGTATATTTTTATATATATACGTGCACATATGTAAAGAAATTCACAAAATAATTACACAACATGGATGATTCCCCGACGTGTTTCAGTGTTATCTTCAGGGAGAAGTTGAAAAAAAAAAGTTGAAAAGGGTTTAACCTGAAAAATAAATATCTTGACGCGTGGACTTGAACTCGGTACTTGCAGCTGATGATAGTTGGATATTTAGCATCAGCGAGGACAGGAAGTGGATTTGCGACTGCGCAGAAAATTCAAAACTTGGCGGATACTCGATCGAGAAGGTAAGTTCAAGTAACATTTGACATTCTTTGCATGTTTGTTTCCATTCTTATGTTGAAAATGAGTTGTAGTTCAATGGTCATTTAGTTATGACACGTAGATCTGTAAAGTTGCATTTTCGCACACACCTTTGACGAACAGATTATAAATAGCCCATCCAATCGGTCCATTGATAGGCTGGGCAGGCTGTGTAAGTGGGCTACAACATGGCTCAGTCGGCACGCGCGATTATATGAATTGACTTTTACTGACGTATAGTTAATTTTTTTTTATCCGTATATGTTTGAGTTAAGTTACTGAAAAATACCAGATCTACATGGGCCTAGTTGTTGAAATGTGGACCCGATGCACGGAGCGGGTGTAGCCATGTTGATCGAGGTTGCCGCGCGCCATTATCGAATTTCTGTGTTACGGTATTTCAGTGTAAATCTTCAATCAGTATGTTGCATGAAGTAGATTTTCAATGTTTAATGCCTTGCTTTGAATGCAATATACCGGACACCTACCATTTTTCGGTAAGGTATGTGCACGAGCTCATTCCTTACTAATGGTTTCCATTTTTTTCAGACGCCATTTTTTGTGGCCTCGCTAAAATGACATGGGTTTCGCGCCATTTGTGCACGAGCTCATTCCTCAGTGACGGTTTCTAAGTTCGTTAGACGCTATTTATTTCGCCTTGCTAAATTAACAGGGGGCCCCAACACACAATGGCTTGAATTAACTTCTTTCGTAAGTAAATGTTTAAATAGTATTACCAATGTACATACAAAATACAACGTGTCTGTTGAAATGTCACTAATGAGGTCGGTGCACGCCATCATTTACCTTCTATTTTTGAGTACTTTTTCTGTGTTGTTGTCCAAATTTTGACTTTATGAATCGCTTTGATGTTCAATTTCAAAGTTAAATCATATTAAACCATAGAAATGCAAGCGGGTTAATATTTCTGCTTATTTTGACCTTTATCGCCCTATTTTTTCAAGTATTGATGCTGTCATGTGCCGCTTCGTTAGTAGCATCGAACAAACATGGCGGATAGGTGTCCGGGGTGTAATGCACGTGTAACGTCAAATTAATAACTTGCCATCTCTTCAAGAAGAAATTATATAACTGTTCCATTAGACATTATGAATTATTACAGTGCCAATACTTAGGTCTTAATAAATTGGGTGGATTGTCAGATTTGGTTGATCTGCTGTCAATGTGGAAACTATTTGATATTTGGTATTTGACTCAAATTATGTTGCAATTAATGTTACTAGATTATACAGATATATCCTCCGATAGTTTTGAACATTATTATTCCGATGAATATTTTAAAATATTAGCAATAGTGTCCAAAATTAATGCATTAGTAGATTTCTATTTATATATATGTTCAATGTTGACTTTAGGACAATTAATTGCAAGGTCAATTATAGATCGTTTAGGATGCATGTCTACCACCATCAGCTGTTCATTTCATTGGCATGCAGGTCTTAAGACATGAAATAGCGACTGTTGTAAATGGTGTTTCAGTTTGTTGGCAAAAAAGATAAATTATTTACATTCCAACAGAAGTAAAGATATAATTTACCAATAGGTATTATCATTTCCAGTTTGTTCTGTTAGCACCTTAAATGTGATTTGTTTTTGTTTTAATTAAGTTGCTTCATTGTGTAATTGTACCTTTTCAGAAATGTTGTCAAGGCAACTTTGATGTTAAAAACCATGCGCCTACAGACATACTCGCTCAGATTAACTTATAATAATTAGGGTATTTATGGCTTTGCAATTTCCTTTAAATATTGTGCTACTTTCTGAGTTATACTAAAGGAATCTATACCTGTTACATTCTATGTCTACAACAAACTATCTTTTATTGTTATGTATTTATTTCTTTTTCACAGGATTCCAGAGAAGGGTTCTCTATCTTTTGATGGAAATTAGGAACCTAATGAAACAGAATCAAGACTCAGACACAGTATCAGTAAGCTCTATTGAGCAACTCAATACACTGGATGAGTTGGATACTCTCGAGGGGAGACTGAGAGAGGATGAATATCAGGCCAGCTTGGTAAGTCAAGTTGAAGTTATGTCACTGTTATTACATTGTAAGATTAGAATGTTGTTTGTTATGAATTGCTTGGAAACAAAAGTAAACAGTAACATGCCATAAGTTTTGGTTGAATTAATATACTTATATAATGATTTTCATACCACATATAAAGTTCAAATGTTCTTTTTACAGAAAATTACTTAAGAAGGATTGGTGGGGCGAATGCCGATGGCCACGTGGAAAAGGCTATGCTAAGGTAAAATAGAATGAAATTGGTGAAAGGTTACAGTAGCTCAGTAGGTAGAACTCGGGTCCATGGATCCATATAGACTGGTACAAGTAGTGGTAGGGATCAAGTTTTTTGAGTTTTGAAAATGTTGTAAGGTATATACTTTTATTGCCTCATTGTAAGATAAGTGGAATGTTTATAAAAAGGAAGTGGTGTTAATCCACACACAAATCATTAATCAGTTGGTCAATGATTATATATGTACATCAAGAACATCGATCCATACTTTGAATTTGCATCCTCAGATATGTTACTGGTTATTTTTCAGAATGATGACAAACTCGCCCATGTCCAAAATGAACATGAGGGGAAGAAAACCAAGACTGCGTTTCATGTACTACTTTGTGTGTGTTGATTAAAGGTAAAAAGTAATTATAATAATATTTTTTATATAGAGATATGAGAGAAATTAGACCATCACTCATATAAAGCGATCTGTATACATAACACCTTTCGTTCAAACTAAAATAATATCTTTGTGTTTGCTACCACTACACACATATATATATATATAGATCTGAGGATACTGTGTACACATAAAATGAAATCTAAAAGGAAATGTATCTGTGATACTATTTCATTCAGTGAGTAAGCTTAGGGGATATTCATAATTAAGATTCTTTTATATATAATAACACAATATCTGTCGTTTTAGTTTTAATGTTATACACACAATATAACTTAATAATAGTATTAAATTGCATGTTAATATTATTTCAGATTCAGTCCTCCTGACCTTTCCAAAGACAATGGAAACGGAACTTCAGGATATGATCAGTCGATTTCTTAAATATGCCCCTGGCAGAACAGGGGGGAGATGGAAGGCCTAAGCACTAGGACCTCTTTGCCACCCAGAAAAAAGAAGAGCTTATGTTGTATATATTTGAACTTAAGTTGTTGTTTTTAATTATCTTTGAATACAATTTTTGAAAACAATGTATCTTTGTTGTTCATTCATCATCTGCATCAGATATAAGTATTTAACAATGTCATTCAAAGAATAGGCACGTGAAGATCGGGGGTAGAATAGGTCTTCAGCAACCCATGCTTGTCATAAAAGGCGACTAACAGGATCGGGTGGTCAGGCTCGATGACTAAGTTGATGCATGTCATCAGTCCGAACTGCGTGGATCGATGCTTATGTTGTCAATCACTGGATTGTCTGTTCCAGATTCGATTATTTACAAACCGCCATCATATAGCTGGAACCCCAAACCATTCAAAGGAAGAGAATTACACAATGGGCAGTTGGTGAGTTATCACTGCTGAGGCCATCTCATACCAATCAGTGACCTTGGCATTGATATTGAGTGGCATTTCTGGTTAGGGGTCAGCAGTCGTATTAATTTGGAGACGCATCAATTTCCAGATTTACAGTATTAGTTTTTTTCCACACTTCTTTGAGGTTAGTGAAATTGGTTAACACCCTAATTAAGCTAGCTACAGCTCAGCTTATTTATTGTTTAACTAAAACATATTGGTTCGTTTTTTGGTGTGTATTATGACCGTCTAGAATATTTCACTGATCTCAAATATCAGGGAGGCCACCACTTCTTGAGCTGATGCTGTACTGAAAAAACCCCACTTTTTCAAGGTTTACAAGGGGTCCTCTGATACATCAACGTTGAAACAACGTTGAAGCTACGTTGAAATCTGACGTTGAAACAACGTTGACATCTGACGTTGAAACAACGTTGACATCTGACGTTGAAACAACGTTGAAGTGTCAACCTCAGTTCAATTTTCATATGAAACCAATTTGCAACGTTGTTTCAACGTTGAAGAGTGACGTTGTTTCAACGTTGTTTCAACATTGTAATGCCTGCTGGGCAAGGACCGTCACTGTCGCTGAAATGGGTCGTAAATCATCCAAGGCGACATAGTTGTAAACATGTACAAGCATACAGCAATCGTTTGATCGGTTCCATAGCTGGGTTTCAGTTCGTTGGTCTCTGGTCATATTTTAAATATTACCACAGTCTTCCTTACTTTAGACAAAACAGAGGCAACAATGCAGTTTACCGGGCGCAGCCCGAGCTCTACCATCCGCTCAATTACCGCGCTATAGTGCCACCGCTGTCTCGTTATACCGTTACCGTGCCTCACGCTCTGGGCCTAGATTTTCGAAACGATCTTAGCTAAGATAAATCTTAACAACTTACGTTCAAAGATAAGATATCTTAAGGCTAAGATAAGATAGATTTTCGAAACTATCGTAAACCTGTCGCAGATCGTTCAGAGTTACGATACCTATCGTAACTCTGACAAGGAACTCATTTGTGTTTGATTGAAAAAGCGAGGTGTTTCCCAATGACGTCACGGGGATTTCCCAGCTGCTGACAATAACAACAACATAGATAAGTGACACGGAATTCATGATCACATTGTCAGGTCACATTGTTTAACATGCACATATTTGAGTGAAATTCTGTACAATCCTACATATGTCCTACATGTAGACGTGTTGTTCTTATGATAAAAGATGCCATGACTAACCGAACACAAAAAGCATTCGTGTGCCATGCAATAGCATTTTTTAAAGCCAAAAAATGTTATAATCAATAAGTATAGCGTTACCACACTTTAGCTATTAGAATGGAAATAATGTGCCAAAAGATACTTCACAATTTTCCCTTCAAATGGTCCTCTCGTGACCGCGCAGAACTTTATGATACAAACACATCGCGTACAAAGTCAAGGACGAAAGTAAGGGACGTTATTCTAAATGAAATGACGAGACCTTTGATCGAACAGCATATGCGTTCAGCATTTAACATGCGTGTTCAAGTCTGATGTTAAGTGATGTATACTGTATATGTTTGTGTTTATGTCAAAAGTCAAGTTTATATTAGTGTAAACACCAACATTATACGTGGAAACACTCAAAACAAAAATTGTATAGGAAGCTGCGCACCCACAAGCAAGATTTTATGACAATCTAAGCTTGTTAAGTTTGTTTTGTTATTTATGTATCCAATATATTTCACGAATTAACCAAGGACTTAAATACAATATCAAGCTATAAGTATTTAGATGATGAAATTATTTTTTATCTATATAGATCCATAATTCTTTTCAAAATTTATAAGTGACACTAATTTTCGTTCGCAAAGAGAGATAATTTCGGAATTGTCAAGTTATGTTATCTCATGGAACAAGCCACAAGTTAACGTAAACATACATATAATGTAGTCATTTTCTATCCTTTTAAATTAAGTAGAGCTAATAAACTGATTTGTCTGATTTCATTTAAATCTGACTAAGGAGCGAAATACTTTGTAATGTGTCAAATCTATTCCAGAACGTAGTTCAATGATGTTTGGCTTGTCTGACAGCATTGCTGAGGATTATTTACTAGTATTTGTCCGTTGACCCTAAACGTGACAACGATTTTATTGTTTGAATGGTCTCAAGTATATCTATATATTTTTTAAACATAAAACGGGAAGATGTAGACTTAAATATTAAAAACACCAAAATATTTTAAAACCGGTTTATTGAATGCAAAGATTATTGTGTTGAAAATGTGTATTTTATATTGATCAGTATATTTCATTCAATAAACTTTTTTTTCTGCGAACATATATTGGAATTTGCAAACTATGCTACATTTTGACGAGAACCAGAACGAGCATCGGAACCCATTTTTTATTTGATTTGTCGATACGAAAATCTGTGCTTAACTTTTACTGTCAAAATTTCAGTAAATTGTTATATTTACTTGAATACATCTATATGCCGTTAATCAATGTTTTTAAAGAATGCAATTGTTCAACAAACAGTTTTTAATCATTTTTTTTTCAAATATTTGTCTTTCAAGATGATATAGATAACATAGGTATTGAATTTAAAACGAAACAAATTACAATTACTTTTGCAAGAAAAATATTAGATATTGAAAACAAATATTTGATCACATGTATTTCCTTGTTAAGTCAATAAATACTACACTGTATAGTTAAAATTCAATTATTAAAACCACCCGTCCCACACGATTTTAGATGTAAAAACTTATGTGAAACCTTTATGGTTATTTTTACATATGTAGATTGATATAATTTTATCAAATGCGAAAAAAAAGACTAAAGCATTGACACAAATGCGATCCAGAAAATATAACAGCGGAACTCTGCGCTTTATGAAAACTGTACCATTGAGCAAGGTGTCCCGGGCGAGTACAAAGGGAAACCACTCTCAACTAGAGTTTGAACTAAGATTAGCTCCCCCTGAGTTATCAATGAGGTCACGGTCATTACTGTAGCCTGCCGACACCTTCCCTTTTTATCCCTCCCAAATTATCGAAAAGGTATGTTGTTTCACACTTCTTCTGCATGGACTCGGATAGAAATATATTGTAAGCTATCGACTCCACAGTTATGTGGATCGCTGTCGCGATTGAGAAAATTTTTGACGCGAAATCCATGATGCGTTCTTTTTGTTTTCGAAGTGTCAATTTGAATCACTCAGTTTTACCAAATGAAATGTCAATGTTTGAACGTAAAGCAGACTTATTGTTTGGCAAAATATCTATGGAAAAGTATGCCGCCATCTTGGATGAAGATAAAATAAACTTACGACAGGTATAGGGCTATCTTAGATTTACGACAAACTTAAGATATCTTAGGGCTACGATAGTTTCGAAAATAGGCCACGATAGCCTACGATTTCCTTACGATAACTTTACGATAACTTTACGATAATCTTAGGGCTAAGATCGTTTCAAAATCTAGGCCCTGGTGACTCTCGCTTCACGATCCAACACCCGTTTCGGTCTCAGGGAAACTTACACATCTTTACAATCAAATACCCGTTCTCGGTCTTAGGGAAACTTACACATCTTTACGATCAAACACCCGTTCTAGGTCAAAACAGATAACATATAACAACACTTACCTACTTGCACAACAGTGTGAGCCTAGTTCGACAATATATAGAGTCAGTTCTCCGAATATCGTACACTTTTGGTCGCCTGTCTCAACAACCACCAAGCTTTGTATGCAGATACTGCGTCATGGGGCATACCAGACGAAAGGTTATCCAATCATCTTGCCACCCCATTAAACCGGTTGTGCATTCCGATTTCCGTTTTGACCACACGTTCAGTCAAAGGAGGCTAATAACGATCACTTAAATTCGTACAGTGTGACTGTAATATCGTACGCAATTTCTTCTAATATCGTACATGTATTTTAATTCCGTACAGCACCTGAACGGTACTCCCGTAGCTGTTATTTCTAATGAAAATTTGTATATATTGGTTGAATCAAAATTCGAATTATCGCACGAAAGGAAATGCTTAGGTTCAAAAACTATATTAATATGTAGATCTATATCCCAGTATTATATTAGTAGAATTTATTAATTTATTAATAAACTTAATTTATTAATAAACTCCAGGGCCTGCTTAGAGTACTGGCGTCTTTTTCCCATCTAAAATATTAAGCACAAAACTAACTTTATAAATTTTAATACTGCCCCGTTTGAATCAAAACAGAACGAACAAGTTGGAGCATTGATGAAGTCCATTTTTTTCGAAATATTCGAGAACACGTCTTGCCAAAAATGTGGCAGACAAGGGGTCGTTTATTTTTTTCCGATATGCCATGCAGAACACGACAAAAAACGTTTGCCACTGCAGACCCTCATTTGGGATGATCTAAGGATTTCTGCAGCAAACCAATTATTATTTCAGCTTCATTTTCAAAATAAACATCATCCAGAGTTAGGGTGTTTATAGTTGAACGTGCGACCACGATCACTATTTCACGTCCGCTTCCAAATATTTCACGGCGCTGAACGGATTTTGAAAGTGCCATTTTCTGTAAAGTTGACAGAAAACGTATAAACAGCTGAATAATTGTAATTAAGACGGACATATCTTTGTATTGGGTTAAAACGTATTCCTAATGTTTTATTAGCTACAGTATGAATAATACAGTTGTACCTCGCTGATACCGATTGTTTTACCGATTTTGCTCATCAGTTATCAATACTTACAGTCAACACTTATTAGATAGAGTTTTGGTGTTGACTAGAAATTTTCTACATGTTTCTTTAGTCGTTAGGCCATCTATATTATTTTATGTGTTTGTCATCTCCAACCTCAACCAACAAGGAAGCGGGCGGGAGAAATTTTAAAAAATAAAAATGTTTTTCACTAATTTTTAACATATTCTACCTTGGTACCAGTCTTCAAATTAATTTTGGACGTATTTCGAGGTGGGTTTTTTTCGGAAACAACTTTTTAATACACGTAGTTGAAGAAAGATCTAGGCATTTTATGAATGTGCATTGATGGTGGTACTTTTGTTATTACGTCGGGGCAAAATCAATACAGACAGCCTGACAATGTTGTAGTATCTTTTTGTAATATATCTTAAAACATGTACAGTTACTAGGTGTATAGTCTTTGTGTTGTCGTTTTACTTTAAGGCTGCGTAGTAGTGTGGCACTGGACGCGTGATAAGAGATAAACAATGTTTTCGGATAGATCTAAAAGAAAACAGGGATAAGGTGTGCTGATGTCTGTTACTTAATATTTCATATAAATAAGCTTATGACAGTGAGCGACTACTTTAAAATGGACTTCAACAATGACCATACACTTAGGTGACAATATATTCTTTTTGTCATTTTAATTTGTTTATCAATGCTTATTCAAGTGTTTCATAAGAGGGTATATCAAATGGAAAATTGAAAATTTCACTGTACGAAATTAGAAGCATAGCAAAATATTATAATAATTTGGGCATCAAATATCGTACGTCCCACATTTTGTTAATTTTGAAAATAACTTTTATGAAACCTATTAATAATTTTCAATATGAAATGTTTATCGCAGCTGATATGCATTATTTCGTGTTTCCGTACCGTTCCTGCTTTTTAAATTTACCGCAATGACCTGTCACATGTTGAGGTTCTCGAATCGTGACCTTGACGTCAACCCAGCAAGCAATGGAGAGAACCGCTTCTGCGCAAGTGCACTTCGCGATAACCAATCATATCTCGTAAGAGAAAACGCATGACAAATACACGTGATAGCTGGGACGGGTAAGACAGGTATCCGGGTTGGGTGGGTACTGAGTAGGACCCGGGGACCCACAGGACTACCCGGACACATGGTTGGTCATGTGATATATAGTTTAATGACAAAACATATCTAGAACTCTATGGTTACACTTCCAAGTCACTAATGTTCGCATTTCTTTCTGACTATGCACCCATTCCTTCTGACTTTTCATATGGTCAACTTCAGTGTAAGCATGAGCAGATCGTTTAAATACATGTATCTAAATATGTTTTTCAAGTGCTGTGGTAAAAAAAAAAATCCCGATTGGACATTTTGTATCTCTAGAGACAACAGTGGGTACCCGGGTAGGGTCGGGTAATAGGGGGGTGGGTACCCGGGTAGTAAATTTGGACTCGTCCCAGCCCTAGTAGAAATATACATACACAACATTATTTTACCATTATACACAGATGAGACATACATACAAGTGTATAACAGTTGACAATTTACATGTACAGTTACAAACTGTTATAGTGATACATTGTGCACTTCGAAAATATGTTTCCATTAGCTATGTAAAATATGAAATGTGTTATTCAGGTTGTCAATAACCCAAACAGCTCAAACAGAAGGTTATTAAAACTCAATGTGGACGGTTCAAATTGTAAGGTCTTCTGGCCCACATAACATACAACACAGAGGTACGAACACAAGACGTTTACTTGACAAGGACAATAACGAGACTGGTTACAATAGAAATCGGATCACGCGTCATAGTCTATGATTCCACATGCAGCCACACACTACTGTTGGGGACCGTTGCGTTCGGGCGAAGCTGTCCAGTACCGGGAACAACCTCACAAAATGTAGCCTGTCAATAGCTAAATAGGCCGGGATATTGATCGTTTTAAACTTTGAGTGAGTTAATGCATATTGTCAGACGATCACCAAAAACAAGTTATTGAGAAGAGCATTTAATACTTTGTAATATATACTCCAGTGTTATTCGAGATGAAAGATACAACAACATAACACATCCGAAATAACATGTCACCCTTCTATAGATAAATGTCGGTTAGCCACATATTCCTATGGAAGTTGTTCAAATCATGTGTGGCCATGTCGTGGGTTCGAATCCCATATATTTTGTACGTTATGATAATTGGCTTGTCAGTAACATGCCATCAGAGTCGTAACCGTATGAGACCTAAGCGTTGCTTAACTCACTCACTACAAATAGATACTGTGTTGACTGGATTATCTTGAAGGGTAACTACCAATCAAGTCACTTTGATTTATACAGGTTTTTGTAACTCCGTTTTGTTCAAGTTTGCGTCCAGCATATTGTAACGATGCGTTTCTTCATACCACATTGACCCAAATGTCGAAAATAGATAATCCAGGTAGACACATGGTGGATTACAACATGTGAAAGACATGAATGATTTTCCATAAAGGAAATTTGGGAGGTTATAACACCTTAGTAATCAATCAGTGACACGGCATCTGATTATGCTTGGCGTCACGTCTGCATTGAAGATAAATATGTTCAGATATGTACAGGAAAAAGATCAATACTGAATCGGAAATAATCATGTGAGTGAGGTTTAACGCCGCTTTTAACAATATTCCAGTTATATCGCGGCGTGTCAGCTTAATGTGGGAGGAAAGCCCAAAGTGATGCAGGTCTCAGACGTTTACCACTTCTATATTCGGTGAAACCCACGAGCACGTATATAGGGCTGACAAACCTAGAAACTTTATCGGGGCGAACCGGGATTCGAACCCACAATCATAGGTCTCTGGCGTGCCCAAGGGACGCAACTCTGCACAGCAAATCGCGGCGCCTTAGACGACTGGGCAACCCATGCCCCCTAATAATTATATGAAATAACAGCAATTCGCTTTATGTCTTTGGGACAATGAATCGACCTATCGTTACTGCTGGTAATTGGAAAAATGTCATCTTGACATATTTATTTCAAATTTCAATCACGATATGGCTGAAATATTACAGATGTGACTTCAAATTTCAACTCGCTCCAAATTTCCAATGTCCTTGATTATCAATCAAGTTTAACCAAACAACTGTGTTACAGCTATATAGAGGATGGTAGCTAAAACAACACGTCGACTGCGACCAGTTAACACCTGAGTCAGTTAACTCCACACTCTAATGAGTGAATGACCTCAGGACAGTAAACAAAGGGGAAATAAACACCGGGAGCTTTATGCCCCAGATGAGTCACTTTGACTGCAAAATAGACGATTACGTCTGAAAATGAACTAGTCTGAATCGACTAAATTTCCCGTCACTTTGACGAAACCAGGAAATACTAAAGTTCCAAAATAGTTAGTTAATTACGGGAAGGTTGGTTATCCACGTATTGCTATAAAAACTGAGTATTAGTTAACTAGTTATTAAGAGTGTAGAAATCACGAGAAAGTCGGTTATCCACAGATTACTAGCAAAACTCAGTATTTCAAACCCTAGTAACTACGTTTAGTTCAGTACAACACGACTAAGTCAGAATCTACATAGAGTAAGCCCCGAATCCACTTATAGGCCATCAGCCTCGGTCCCAAATTTTGGCCACCGGTATCAAGTTAGGGGAATAATGCTCATAGATTTTTGGCAAAGTATGGACTCCTAGAGTTATAAATTTTCTGATAGCATTGCAGCGGTGGCAGTTTTGTGGGTGTTATCATCTTTTTTCAAAATGGCCGCCAAAATACGAGTTACCACATATAAGTGGCCATATCTAAGCTCCTAGAGCAGTTAGGCTGGTCATTCTGGTGTCTATGACTAGGTTTGAGGGGTCAAAGATTTCATTTCTGCCTTTACCAAAACCATTGGAGCATGTATTTATATGAAAATCCAAAATGGCCGCCAAAATGTTTATTACCACATAAAAGTGGCCATATCTAAGGTCATAGGGTAGTTAGGACAGTCATTTTGCTGTCTATGACTAGGTTTGAGGGGTCAAAGATTTCATTTCTGCCTTTACCAAAACCATTGGAGCATGTATTTATATGAAAATCCAAAA